GCATTAGGAAGGTTGGGACCCACTGTCTTAGTCCATGCTTCACTACAACAACCAAGTAACTACTAGATCCTCTCTTAACCTTTTAACCTGAAACACTGGATGTAGAAGCTGTGCATAATGGGCTCATATCAATAACCTAGACTGATCATCAAGCCTTATGTTCTTTGCACCAGTGTTACACAGCCTTGGTCATTCACACGCGTATTCCCCAGGTTTCCATCTGTACATATTGGGAGACTCCAGCCGTTCTTACTGACTACAGCACACTTCTTCCTGCATCCTCCTCTGTGCCTCACGTTTCGGAACTCTGAGCCTTAATTCTAGTTATAGGCCTAGAATAAATGAAAGCGTGATGACAGTGTTCCCTGGGGGCTCTCAGCGACATCTTATAAGAAAGCTTCCCGGGCAGTTTTCCAGATGCAGCCCCACATAGCATCTCAGCACGCACGCTCGCGCCAGTCTGCTCAAGTAGGGTTGTTGTACTGAGAATGGATTCGTCTCCTCAGGTGGGAGGGGTGGAACTGTTGACTGGGGAGGCTCAATAGACTACAGGGCCTCAATATCCCTATCTTCCTGATCATCAGCCCATATAACCCCGTCTCGTGTTTCAGGGTCCCATTTCTTTCTAATTAACGGCCTTACTTTCATATCAGACACTGTTCTAGACTTACAACTCAGCTGGTACTGTCGTCAGCTACTCGTATGATAAGACTATGCACTGGGTTTTCAGCAGTATCAGCTGTTGTTAAGGAGAGAGGGCTTTCCTTTGTAACACAAGCAGAAGCTCTTGGGTCTTTTATGCGGCACCTGAGACCTGCTTCTGAAGTTCAGGGCCCATCCTTTCCTTTACCACATCTCCTATTGTAAGGAGTACCAGCCACTCAGCATGCCTACACTTCTCATCCTCGCAAAATTGCTGGAAAATATCAAGCGCGCAATCACCTAGACCCTCCATCTGGTGACATTTCAGATATTACCTTGGCCCCTCATGACACGCATGGATGAGCACTCTGTTTACTACTACTTGCAGGGACAGAGGCAACATTCTCAATTCCTTAGGCCTAATCAAACTGGAGAACCAATTTTAAAAGCTCAGATTTACGATTTTGTTTCTCTATAACCACTCCCGGTACCAAGGGTATCAGGTTGGGTTCTCTAGAGAAGCAAAAGCAAGACATTCATGAATGAGTATAAGTGGAGACATATAGATTGTGAAGGAGAATGACAACAGGAAAATAGCCCACAGCGCTGCAGAGCAGTTCAAGCCGACTCACTTTCATGGGCCAGTCAATGTACTGAAGGTCATCCAACTCCTGCGGTTACCAGGCCCAAGGGCCAAAGAAGTAGAAGGCTGGAGGGTGAGGCATGGCCAGTAGAGCAGTGGGTGAAGTAATCACAGTAGGACCTCATGGTGCGGAAATGTGAGGTGGCCGGCCGACACACAGCGTGACGATGTGTAACGCAGCTGTCCCGGCAGTGTAGCCTGGCAATGCGAGGTGGCCGACAGGTGGTGCAGGGTGGCAACGTGAGGCAGTGGGACATAAACAAGCCAGATCAGGCAGCACAGCAGTCAAGGCAGGAAGGGAAGAGAAAAAGCCATGGCGAGGCGTCCACAGTGTCTTCTTACATCTAGGTCACACCCCCAAGGAGATGTTCCCATGCCGCAACCTGATTGATAAGCAAGACACCACCCACAATCTTCTGTTGCGCCATGTTGACAAAAAACAAACAAACCTTCCATCACAGTTGGTATGAGTCAGAATTGATTCCAATGGGGTGGGTTTGGTTCGGGGTCCCCTCTTTAGGGAAGCTGACTGCTGCATTATCTTTCTCCTGAGGAGCAGCTGGTGGATTCAAACTGCCCACCTTCTAGAAGCACCAAGCACTGATCCACTGCATCACTGAGGCTTCTGACTACGTGTAAGTGTATGCATATCTGCTCCTTTTCTTCTCTTCCTCACCATTCACCTCCCTGAGGCCTTCCTAACAGGAATGTCCAGCACTCCTCCTGAGTGAAGGCCCCTGGGCTTTTTCTGGAGAAAGATGACCAGATTCTTCACTTCAGAGAAATGTTAGACACTTTTAAAACATTCGAAATATATCAAAGCAATCCATTCTTGTGAAAATAAAAGCTTTGTTTAAAAGCCTAACACCATATGGAAATTGGTTTTGAAAACACATTAAAACGAGCTTTCACTGGCAACAACTAAATAGAGCACCCGGGGCTCTTCTTCCTATTCTAACTGCCAAAGGTCCAAGCAGCTACAAGGATTTGCCACTTACATACGCAATGCATATAATGAACTTAGTGTTGTGCCAGGAAGCTAATAATTCACCAAATTTTAGTTGCCACGATTGCTTTTGTTTTTGTTAGAGTCAATACCTTTCTTCATTCCAGCACTAATACTTACTGACCTAAATTAAATAATCCTCTTGTCCCATTTCAGCAAAAAATAATCTGTATTGCGTTTGGTTAAATGTTACCCAAAAAAGGATCTCAGTCACCATATGATTATATATGTAAATGTTATATAACATATTATAATATCACTGCCACATATCTGTATTTTTGCTTGGTAAAAAAAAATGCCCTTTAAAAAAGAGGGGGGGAAAAAGCTGAGCCTAAGACGTTACATTTAATTTACAGCCGTCCCTAAAAAGCTATGGCTTTCTGAGTGCAAAATTAAAAAGACTGTCTTGTTTTCCCTGAGGGCTCCCCTATGTGAGTATATAAATACTACAACACCACACCAAGATGGTGGCAAGAATTCCAGGGAACAAAGGTGGGAGCAGAGAGCCAGCTTGCTTTGGTTCGGTCTATCCTCTAGTCCTCAATGGTTGTGAAACCTAAAGCAGTCAGCCTCTGTGAGTCAGTACCCTTAAAGCAAGGTTAATTTTCAGACTGTGTATCTATAGTCAACAGAGTGGGCCACAAGTTTCCAGAGTAAATGTTTAAGTATGCTGAATTACAATTTCCCCAATCAAGAACATAGCTCTCTGATCCACGTGCTTTAATTAATACGCTATCATTATTTAGAAAAATCTATACCTTGCTGTAAAATATTGCTGTACGTTAAGGTGCTGATATCATCAATATCTACTGGAAGAAGGGTGATCAGAAACCGAATTGCAACTAGCATGGCAACGGGGGAAAAATGAATAGAGGCTGGTCTGTAACCTCTTTAACATTGTTGGCTTTTCACTATTAGATGTTTTAGTTCCTCAGATTGAAGTCTTTCTTCTTAAATCCTGTATCTGTGGTAGTGAAGGGAAGGAGGAGAGATGACTATAAATAAATGAATGGTGGGACGGAGAAAGGAAGTAAGGTAAGGGATAGGGAAAAGGCTCTACTCTAAAACTACATCTGAGTCTATGGTTCCTGAACATAATGTCCCTGCTGGGAAAATCAATCTAGTCACCAGGAATCAAGTCTACAGAGCGCCCGCTCATCACTACCCCAGCACACCACCTTTCCCAGATGCCAGACATTTATTAGCTTAAATGCACAGGTCCCATTTTCCATCCTGAGAAAATGTCTTTAGGTCCTAGAAAGTGGTGGAAACTCAGAGAGCCCCAACATACAAGAAAAATGGCTAGGATACAAACGGCATAGAAGAACCCTTTCTATAGTGACATGAACCAGAAACTAGCTTTTCACTCATAACATTTGGGAAGATTAAAAGGGAATTAATGAAAACCCTCTTAATGAGAATTAGCCAACAGAGAAATGAGTAATAAGTCTGCATCTGCCCTTGGAAAGCTTCCTGCCTCCTCTCCTGGCACAGTCCCATAAGTGATACTGGCTACAAACCCAGGTACTCTGGGATCCAGAAGTAATGGAGAATGTAGTAGGGTTCTAACTGCTTCACTGGAGACCAAGCAGACTCTCTTGTATTACCATATAAGATGAAGTCTACCCAGAGGTCTGCAGAAGAATGAAGCACAAGACCAGCCAATTTGCAGGACATCCCTCTCTTAATTGATGAGACCTTTAAAAATATTTATGATCACTATCCAAACGTCTTTATTGTGCACTTCAAAACACATTTTCCATTAGAGCTACACATGATCTTAGCACCACAGCACATATTTGTAACCACTTTTTCTCACGACCATGTATATGGCTGTTTTCTCATAAACTGTGTCACTTTATTGACCAGATTATAAAACAGTTTTATAACATTTACTCTTCCAAGACTTTACTTAGTTTTTAGACAGCTACACCCCAGGGTCCAAACAAGTTTCCAGTGACAATGTTTCTGAACACATTTTTTCCACAAGGTTTAATTCAGCTCAAGAAAGGCCAAGGGCAAAGACAAAAGCCACGGAAAGGGTAGCTAGCTCACAAGGGAATGACTGAGAATTGGGCAGTGCAGTTTGAAGTATTTGTTCCTGAACTACATACAAGTCTACAAATGGGCCCTTCCATTAAGAAATCCGGTTCTTCCCAGGGAATTTAAGGGATCCAGCGTATTCTTGAACCCTACCTGGATGCAGACACTCTTTTTCTATCCCAACTTCCCACTCTCTGTTCTGGAAAGCCAAGTATGGCGGATTCTACCTGGTTCATCACACCTGTTTTACATTGAAAACCTATGGAGAACCATGTGTCAACCCTGCCTCCCTTCGACGTGCCAAACATTGTACGGGTGGTTTACCTGCACAGGTACTGAATCTTACAAAGACAACTTTATCACTGGCCTTTGCTGGCCTCGTTTAAGGTCATAATCCCATTCCCTGCGGGTGACCACCATTCCCTACAGTTGTTAAGGGGGCGCAGGGCACCCTGTCTGAGGGCAGCTAAGCGCCCCAGAGGGCTGGACCCTTAGGCTCCGCAGTCCTGGCTTTCAGGGGATCCTCCTCCCGGCTCCTCCGCGGGCTCAACCAGCAGCCCCGAAGGCATGGCACAGCCAGGCCGCCGGCACCGGCCAAGCGCCCAGGCTAGGGGGCCCCCACCCCCACCCCACCCCCGGGAGGCCCGAGCCGCAGCGCCCACTCACCCTTCTGCTCCCGCAGCCTCGACAGCGACCAGAGCAGCAGCGCCACCGAGGCCAGCCAAGCGAGCTGGCTCAGCAG